GCACTTGGTTTTCACATTTTTTTTTTTTAACTACAGAAAATAAACTGTAATTCTTCTACTGCAGAGAACTCCTAAAGACCCCAGCAGGTCTGGATGTTTTTAACACTATGGATTCCTATTTGAAATCTCTAGGTTTATCTTGTGATGCACATCTTTATACCTAAAAATGCTAACATTGTATGACACCACCACACCCTGGCTGAGAATCACTGGTCTAATGTTTGTTTCTCAGCCATGAGTCACAACTGCCAGCAGCAGTCTGCTCAGCTGGTTCAGCTCAATCCTGTAAGGATTCTTGTGCTATCAATCAATTAGTAGTAGGAACAACTTTCAGGAGATGGTAACAGCACAATGTTAAGAGCAGAGGGAGGGAGGGAGGGCAAAAGAGCTGAAGAGGAAGTTACATGCAGAAGGTGTCAGGAGAAAATGACAGGCACAAAGAATAAGAAGGGTATAATGGCTGCCTGAGCCTTTTAAAAACAGGACAGTAATTTCCCCAGGAAACATTTTAAAAATCATCAGCCATTGAGTCTCACCTCTGAGTACAGAAAGTCTAATTTCTTCCTGGCTTTCTCCATATATCTTCCTTTATAGTCCTTCTCTATTCACTCCATACCCACCTCAACCTTGCTTCAATATTATCAGCATGTTTTTCAAACCCTGCAAGGTTTTTCTTAAGTAGTGGTAAAGAAAAAAATGAAAGTCAATGGTATCTTTGAAGGAATAACATCACACCATAATATTCATGCTCATAATGCGACATGAAAAAGCTAAGTGCCCCAACACTATTTACAACTACCAATGTGAGAAACCAAAGTCTTAACATCAGCTCTTTCTATTATCAGAGAGCTTCTCAATATAATCCAGTATCTTCCAAATCAGGGCTGGCCAACCTGCAGACAGGTGCCACGAGTGGCACAGGCAGCCTCTGTATGTGGCACACAGCAGAATGGGGAGAGGACAGGAAGCAGAAAGCAGAGCAAAAGAGCAGGCAGGGGAAAGCGATCTGGGTGACACCCGGGAAGGGTATGGGGCTATTCTGTGGATCACTTACAAAAGGTTGGCCCTCCACTGTTCCACATCACCCTATGCTAAAAATCCATTTCCCAGTAACATGGGAGCTCCTGTGCCCAGTAATTTGATGATAGTGCTAATCAAAATGTTTCTGCTACATTTTTTGTTCTAGACACAGGATTTGTCATAACTCACAGGGTCATTGGCGCATTGTGTTAGATAGCCTACCTCCTGTAGAGGCCAGAAAGTGAGGTTTCAGGCAGGTAGCTGCTATCCAAAGAAAACCCATGCTTTAGACCTTGTGAACTCTGAACAAATTTGCCCAAAGGCAGCAAGGCCCTTGATTCTGTAGCACCCTCGTGTGACAGGCTGGAAAATCTGCAGCAATTTTGGATATGCTGTAAGGGAGGTTCTTTTAACTGACGAATATGATCAGAACATTTACCATTCCAGCCATTTTTCAATGTACTTCAGATTTTGTTTGGACAGTACATAAGTGCAGATAGGAGGTGTCAGGCTAGTTATTTTGGCACCTCTGAAGGCATGGGAGTCACTCTAGGATTCTGGGATAAATCTATTATTGTTGATGTCCTTCTCAAAACATAACAGTCACGTTGTTGACACTTACTAACTCAGAAAAATATCACTGTGCAGTTTGCCCCCTGACTCAGACAACATCTCATGGGCTCACACCAATGGCGCTTAACCTACCGGGCTGCCTGAGTGACACAGGACTGGTCTGTGCGCCTGCTTCCTTGTGTGGGGTAAATCTGTGGGCCAGATCCCATGCAGAATTGGTACACGAGTGCAAGCTGGTGCTTCAAATCTGGCCACAGTTTCCCCATGCACTGGATCTGGCTACAGAACGAACCCTGTGCTGGCCTGACACCACGTGCTAGTCTGGCTGTGGTGTGAACCTGCACGCTGATATAATCCAATGCATAAATCTGTGTCCTCTGGCGCTGCATGGGTCCAGAAATGTGGCTGTGGGAAAACAGTGGCAGTGTTAAGGACTGCAGGCTGTGCGGGCCGGGAGCGACCCGAGCCCTTTTTCGCGCTGCACGCGGGCTGTGGCCAGCAGCCCGGGCACGCGGGGGCGGAGAGGGAAGGCCGTCGAGCTGGAATTAGGCACGAACGCATAGCGGTAGTTTTAAAAGATTGTTTACTTACACCAAGATGGCAGTGGTGTAGGCTGGAAAACTTGATTAAGTTGCAGTTACAGACAAACAACACAGACGGTCTCGTGGAGGTTGCTAGGCTCCACAGTGCAGAGCTCCGGATGCTCTGGGTGAACGAGCCACCAAAATAGGAATCGTAAATACGTCTTATAAAAGTTGCGTTCGACGACGGGAAGAGGTGGGCGGTGGATCAGGCCGCCACGCTCCTCTGGATCTCACACAGGGTTTCTATTACCCTGCCGTGTACCCAGAGTCCCCATGAGATGGATGTGGAGTCCTCTTCAGTTTGGGCAGAAACTGCTCAAGCCTTTTATACGGCTAACAGGCCAATCGTTAGCCGCCACGTGTGAATAATTTAGCACTAGCCAATCACGGGGAACAAATTTGCATATCGGTGGCGGGAACTCTTTTGCACCGTGCATTCCTCTTGCAACTCGAGCAATGCACCCTGCAAAAGAAGCTGCAGAAAAGGCGGGAAACTGGTCCCTGCACCGGGGTTTCCTCTTGCTACAGGAAACTCTCCCGTGCAATGCTCTGCAACTTGACGGGGATAATTCTGGTGCCGAAGCACACACACAATCATGCCTTTTGGGTCATGACACACGCCACAGGCTGAACACCACTGGGTTAGACTAGGTCGGGAAGGTCTATTCAAACCAGACCTGTAATTCTCAGCCAAGCTGCCATCACATGAGCTTCTTTTAATGGTGCCATGCAATATTGGCACTGTTAGGTAAATAAACACCCATATGATTCACACAATAAACCCAGAGATTTCAAATAGGAATCTGCAGTGCCAAAAACATTCTGACCTCTTGTGGTCTTTCTGAGTTCTTTGCAAAGGAGTTTTATTGCTTTTCCATAATCAACACCCCCCCCCCCAACCAAACCCAGTGAAATCTAAAAACTGCCATTTTCTTAGTGGTTGCCTCGAGTCTAAAAAGGTTGAGAACCATGACGGTAGGGGGGAAATCCTTTGCAACACCCTGAAAGGAGTTGTTCGCTAGAAAAATGAAGTTTCTCATAGCTTAAGGTAGCCAATGCCTGATGGTACTGGTGACAAAATTACCCTGTTTTCTCACATACTTGCACCCCCAAAATAAAACATGTATCTTGTTTTTGGGGGGCAGAAGGTAGAAAAAAAGATTAGGCCCCAGACCCTTGCAAAGGGCAGCAGCAAGTCTGTTGCTTCTTTACTCTAAGTCGGAGGTGCTCAACCCTTGACGTGACCTGTAGAGCCACTGCATCTGGCCCGCAGGCGCACCGCACAGGTCAGGAAATTTGGCAGTGGGGCAGCAATCGACACTGCCACCACCACCCTCTGCCAAATTCCCAAGCCCCACGTAGCGGGCTGGAGCTGGGCTGGGCTCCTTCGCCCTGCCACAGCCTCCCTCCTCCGCTGCTGCATCAGGGCCAGGCCACGGCCCCTCCTCTGGCTGGATTAGAGCTGGGCAACGCCCTCCCCACGGGGCCAGGGTGCCCCCTGCCCCCTCCCCGTGGCCGGGCACCGGATGAGGCCCACCAGCTGGATCCAGCCCAGGAACAGCCCGGGCACGGCCCATTCAGCCTGCTGGACGACTCCAAGTCACTCTTGACACGAGCTCCTGTAAATCCGGTGTCGTTTCCACCAGCAGCTCACGGGCTCCACGGGCCCACGCTGCGGTGCAGGGTCAGCGCTGGTCTGCTTCTTTTCCACTCCAAACACGGTTTCCTCACTGAAAGCCGCACCGCAACTAGGGAAGGAGGCGCGTGAGGTATGTGACAAAATACGGTCGGTGGCCTGAACCCGCCCCCACAGCATTTCCTGCGCGCGCACCTGCGGCTGAGGCGGGGCAGGGTGCATACGTCACCGCCCACTCTCTAGCGTTCCGCCTCCTCACGCAGTGCGGAGCAGCGGGCCCCACCTCTCAGGAGACGCCAGCGGGGCCGATTGGGCGCGGCTCCTGCCACTCTCCGCCTCTCCCGCCCCCCCAGGGAAGCGGCGTCCGCTGATTGGCCCGTGGTGAGGCCGTGACCCGGCGCAGGCGCGCGGAGGAGACATGGCGGCGCGGGGCGTGCGGCTGGTCCCCTCGCGGTACCCGCTGCTGTACGCGGCGCTGTCCTCGCCCGAGTGCGTCTCCCGCGCCCCGGGCTGCTCTGGCGCTGCTGGGCCTGGCGGGGGCGGGGAAGGTGATCTGGCCACCTTGGGCCTCCGGCATTGCCTCCATCCCGGGGTCACTGAATCCAGGCGCCTGCTGTCGGGGCACTCGGCAGGGCCGGGTCTCGTCACAAGGCCTTGGAGGCGAGTCCATCCCCGCTCGTGTCCGGTCCCGGCCCCTGCCACCGACTGGCAGCTACTCCAGATCTCCAGTCCAGGAGGAAAGTAGAGCCCGAGGTGTTGCAGGCTGTTGCATCATTGGTTTTGTCACGGGTTGGTTTCCTAATCTAATCTCGCAGGAGGGTGGGCCTGGTTTATCCTTCAGGCCACGTGGGATTTCCCCCAATCCACATCAGGCGTTTTCACGCTGGATCACAAGAATTTCAAGGCTGCCCCCTCGGGGTGGCTGCCGCGCTGTTTCCAGGTTGCTTAACTTGGGCCTGGTAGAAACAGCGAAGCTGAAGTCTTGAGGGTTTCAGTCCAGGTCTTTCTTACTCAGTTTTAACACATTTGGAAATAGGTTCTTTAATCGAAAATAAAAATCAAACAAAAACGCGTGAGGATTTCTGGCTGGGAATGAACTGCTGCTTGGTTTTCTTTCGAAGATTTCATAGTTGTTAGGGCTGGAAGGGACCTTGTGAGATCATCACCCCAAGGAGCAGGAAGCCAGCTGGGGTCCAGGGTGCTGGCAGCTTCGCAGCTGGGATGCACAATTGCAAGATTTGCTTATGCTTCCCAGATGAGGATCGTTCGAAGGAACTGGAGGACAGAGGGACTAGACTGATTTGTATGCGTCTTCTACTTTGGGGACTGGAAGGCTGCAGAGACTGCTGTGGGCACCACCCTGTTTTACAATGTATGCAGAGATGCTTTCAGCAACAAACTACTGCTTAAGGCTTAGTCCTGCCAACATATGAAATGTGGGACTACTCGTAAATCGGACATGTGCGTAAGGCTGCATGCAGGCAGAGCAGGACCTCGGATACATGTATCATTCGTTATTGCTTTAGAGCAGGGGTTTCTCTTATTGGCAAGTAGCAAATCAAGGGTTCATTATATCCAGTAACCACGGCTCTGTCTTCCAAGTTAATATAATTTTGAATGTTTATTTTAGGACTTCACGGTTCCTTTGTACAGCTACACAACAGAAAAGTACTGGCCAAAACTTAGAAGAGGACCAGGGTCAGAGCCAAAATGAACAGAAGACTGAACCCACCCCTGCTGAGAAGACACTAATAGAAGATAAAGTCAAATTGGAAGAGCAACTAAAAGACATGACAGTAAGGGGCTTTTGGTGTGCACACCCATCATAGTTTCATAGTGCTTAGGGTCGGAAGGGACCTAAACAGATCATCAGGTCCGACCCCCTGCCCTGGGCAGGAACGAGTGCTGGGGTCATAACACCTCAGCCAAATATCTGTCCAGCCTCCTCTTGAAGACCCCCAAGGTAGGAGAGAGCACCACCTTCCTTGGGAGTCCATTCCAGAGCCCAGCAGCCCTAACCATAAAATGATGTCTCCTGATGTCCAGCCTGAAACATCTCTCTAACAATTTGTGGGCGTTATTCCTAGTAACCCCCGGTGGTGCCGAAGGGAACACTTGTAAAAAATATTGTTTAAGAACCATGTGGACTGTGCAGAAGCTTGGTAAAGTTATAATAATTGTCTGATTCATGAATTGCAGGCTGGATTTATCATTGGAGTTATTCCTTTCGGTTTAGGGCTAGATCCAAGAAAAGATCTGGGGGGAATTGAAGCACCTAAACATCAAATTATGATCCAAAACACACCCATGCTTCATGCTGCCTGAATCCCAGAGACACCAAGTGTTTTTTTTGGTCTGTGTGTGCTCTCCCAGGCTCAGGAACTGGGCATGTACATCAGCTGGAGCTTGACTGAGATCCAGTCACTAGGTCTGCCCCCCAGCTAAGCTCCCTGAAAGGTGTGACCTGATAGGCATGTTCTAATACTGCCCTAACACTGATAGAATTGGGCTCCCTGCAAAATTAAAGTAGCAGCTGCTGCCTTCTTTGAAAGGCCATGGAGGAAGGGTGCCCAGCTTCTGTATAGCAGTCTACTAATGACAGCATTTCTCTGGGAAATGGGAAACTTGGCTTGAAACCCACAACTCCAGACCCTGTGGTGAGTGCCCAACCACTACATTAGAGTCATGCTTCCTCTATGGCCCAAAACGTGTTGCATTCTTTGTCACGGAACGGCTCAGATTGAGCAGGAGGGGTTTAGAGTAGTTAGGTTACTCTCATAATATGGGAGATATGAGCTTGTACCTATTGGGCTGAGGAGGAAACTGAACCAAGATATCCTGCTTCCTGGGTGACTACTGTTTAGCTGTTGTATACTGTGTTTGCTCCTCTTCTGGCAGCCATATTTAAAAGTGATCTCTGCTCGCTCCTTTGAATGAAAGAGGCTGTTGCCCCTGGCTCTTAGGGTTAAGATAACCTTGGAGAAGAAAGGGCTATAGTTGTGGACAGAGGCACCTTCCCAATATTGAGTAAGGTACCGAAGCTCCAGAGGTGGGCGAAATAGTGTGCACAGCCTGTCCCCAACATTGTCTACTCTGCTGGCTATATAAGCCAGCTCGCTGCTCAGTGCGCTGGCTATTTTGAAAGCACATTACTCTCCCTCAGAAGGAGATTCAGTGGGGGTTTCAGTGCCTAAGGCAAGCTTCTAAATTCCACTCCAGGAGCCAGGCATTAGCGTCTCTGAAGGGTTGGGGCTGCACCACCTAAGTACTTTATTGGATCTGATCTTTAGTCCATTTGCAGAACTTGGTCATCTTGCTGGGAACAAACTGCTAATAGGTTTAACGAGATTAAACTCTGGAGTTAAACCCTGCAATTTACAGAACCTCAGTAAAATTGGAGGGTACTGAAGGGTGTGAAGAAGAGGGATGGCCTGGTGGGTAAAAAGAAAAGCTGGCTTTTAGGGTAAAACCCTGGTTCTTAGGTGACCATGGAGAAGTCACTTATTTTTTTTCTCTGGCAGTTTCCTAGCTATAAAAACGGGATAAAATGCTCCAGTGTTTATCTTGAGGATAAATCCACTACAAGTATTACAATAAAATGTGGTGGAGCATTTTTTTCAGAAACCTGAGGCCTGGGAATGCAATTCTTTGTCTTATTTTCCATGATCTTTACCTGTGTCTTGGATGAATGGAATTCTTGGCCTTTTACTATTTTGCTTTGCTAGTGATGCAAGAAAACAGTGCAGGGAGAACCAGTTTGATAAACAAAGTCCTGCCAGAAGCACACGGGGATTAGGGGGGATGGCACATTTGGCATTCCCATGCGTTACATCCCTAGAGAACACACAAACCTTCAAATGAATTCTTGCTTGGAAAGCCTTGAATCAGCTTATGACTCTGTACACTTAAGTAAATTGCTTAATCCTTCCTCCCTGTTTTTCACCTCTAAATGAGGCCAATACTTGCCTAATCCTTGTGAGGATTAGCCTTCATAGCCTCATTTGATGATAAGTTGGTTTTGAATCTGACTCTGAAACCTATTGTCAGTAAGCATACTTTGTTAAATTGCTGTTGGGGGTTAAAATTACTAGAATGGAAGTCCATTAAATTAATGGCAAGCAACACAGAGATTGTATGAGAACCTCTTCTGCAATGTGTTTTATTTCTTCCTCAGGATAAGTATAAGAGAGCTCTGGCAGACACTGAAAACTTGAGACAAAGAAGTCAGAAACTGGTAGAAGAGGCCAAGTTGTATGGTAGGTGGAGACTTCCCATTTGTGCTCCTGTATTGTGAAAACACAGTGATGCTAATATGAAAGCCAAAGCTTGTGTGCAGAGTGCCCTTAAGGATTAGTCCATCTTGGACCAGCTGTGCCTTCTGTGTTGGAGGACTGTGAATGGGTGTGAGATTTGTATTCAGCTGTGTTAAAGACATTGCATTTTTATGCACGAGGAATTTCATGAAACATTGGGGACTGCTTTGTCTGAGGTTTTCCAACGACTTCCAGCCACACAAGACGGCATAATGCTTACCAGACACCTGTACATATTATGTCAAAAATCTTCCAAGTTGTATCTACTTGCTGGATTTATAATGGGTTATCTGTATGGAACTGGGAAAGTCTTGGTGTAGCTGGTACCCTGAACTTTGCTCCTCTTCTCCATGTCACCTCACACTTGGCTGAAAAAAGCATGAAACCACAAGTATCTGAAACATGCTTTCCTCCCGAATTTTAAGCCTTTTTAAAAAATTTGAAACACTTTGAGGGCCTGTTTTTTTTTTTTTGTTTGTTTTCAACTATGTATCCTGAGGTTTTAAGATGTGACAGCACTGCTCTTTCATTGTTTTAACCCTAAAGTAGGGGAGAAAACGAAATAATTATGCGCTAAAATAAGTGCTCTAATGTCAATTCTGGACAATCCAGTTAATGCTGATTTTTTTTCATAGTGCTGGTCACACAAGGCTACCATTGACATTGAGGAGTGCTAGAGGCACTTAATATCTTTAAGGATCAGGCGACTTATTTAGATGTCTGGTAGTTCTTGTGACCATTCTGGTCAAACCGTATATTAGTAGTACTTATCTTCTGAAAACAGTGTGCAAAACAGAAGTGGTATTGTTTGTAAATACTGTAATAGCAAAAGAGAGCACCGTATGGTGTCAGTGCATAATTATTTCATTTTGTTTCCCAGCTTAGGGCTGAGAGAATGAAAAAGACAACGTTGCCACATCTTAAATCATTAACTTTACATTAGTCTGAAAATAGGGTCACTTGTTTAGACTGTGAAAAAGCAAACCTAAGCTCAAGAGCATTCAGGATTCTTGTAAAATGTTAGTGAACACTGAGCACTTTGATTAGAAATTCACTTTTCACAACCATGTATTATGGCTCTCAACCCAGTAAGTCTCTTCTCCTAGACTAGGACTCTTTTTATTGCAATAACATCTAAGGTTCACATAAATTCTAACAACAGTTTGAGGCAAAGAAAACAGTAGTTAGTGGTGTGGCGTGGTGTGGTATCGAGAGATTACAGGGAAGTGGGATGACAGGAAAAAATCCTCAACTTTGAGGGAGTTTTACCTTGTTTGCAGGAATGATTATGTTTTCTCTAACAAGCTAACATAATGATGTTTGGACTACAACCAGAAGAGGTTGGACAGGTGCATTAAGAGCATAAATAAGTTTGGCCACCATCAGGCTGATGTTACATTTTTGTTATAGCTACTTTCTTGTTACAAATCTCTCTCCCCATGGTGGTCTGAAAAACCTACACAAACTAACACTTTCTCCACAACTGTTACAAGTATAACAGGCTTTCTAAAAGATGTGTCCTTTAAAGTGGACAGAGTCCCTTTTAAGAAGAATTAATTTGATTTTCTTCATCTTTTTCTAGGGATTCAGGGATTCTGCAAGGACTTACTAGAGGTTGCTGACGTTTTGGGAAAAGCAACTGAAAGTGTTCCAAAAGAGGAACTCAGAGATGAAAACCCTCACCTGAAAAGCCTGTATGAAGGTCTTGTCATGACAGAAGTACAGATTCAGAAGGTGTTCAAAAAGCATGGCCTGCTCAAACTGAATCCTGTTGGAGCCAAGTTTGATCCCTATGAGCATGAAGCATTGTTCCATGCTCCTGTGGAAGGAAAGGAGCCTGGCACCATTGCATTAGTATCCAAGGTTGGCTATAAGCTGCATGGGCGCACCCTGAGGCCTGCCTTGGTAGGTGTCGTAAAGGGATCTTAGCTGCTTAATTGGTAGACATTTAAAAATGCCATACAACTATTAAATAGATGGATAGTTTTCTTCCTCTGCATCTTCTCATCCCTGTACTCTTTGTGGACGGCTTACAATTAGCCAATTGAGTTGCTACAGTGAAAAACAAAGTGAATGTTAGATTAACTCACTTAGTGGACTATAAATAATTTGAAGGGCCTACAAAGAACACTTTAGATTGCATTTCATACTTCAGGAGAGAGCCTCCCAGAGCCATTGTCACCTTGCATTTTGGATAACATCTTATCTGTTATAATTGTAGCCACTGAAAGTGTGTTAATGAAAAACTAAATGTATCCACAGAAATAACCTGAGTCAGAGCACTATTTAGAGTGAAAGCAGCCTTCAGACTCTCTGCACCTTCCTTTGTATTGTATTTCCTAATATTGAAGTAGGCACCAGCTCTCTGCAAGTGTCCATCAACTTCCATGAGTCAACGATGTTCATCTACTACTGTCTCTGCTGGTCAGGAACTATTTCTGTGTATTGTCTCATATTCCATGAGTAGGTTGGTTTCTCTTAACAGCAGATGGTACAACCTTTGAGAAATCTCATCTATATAGAAGGTGGTAAATAAACTGCAGTGGATACCGGACTCCCTCTGTGGCCTTTATTCAACTCTTCATATTCTGTATGAATTAAACTCTACTTAAGAAAACCATTAATATTTGTATGGCATTGAAGCAGCTAAAAATAATTTATCCAGTCTCTGGATCTTTGATTTAATACAATATAAATTGGTTTGAACAATCTTATGCTGTTCTTGTAATTTTAAAGTTCATAGTCAAGTTGTTGTGCTGTTTTATTTGCAACTACTTGGAAGGTCACAATAGCAAACTGACACAGGTTCAGTATTTAAAAGTAAGTTTGGCACCTGTTCCCCTTTTCTTTTTCTTTTTTTTTTTTTAATATGAATGCATAGTCTGTACTAATCACTGTTGTTAAAAAGTAACTGAATCAAACAAACAAAAGACCTGCTCCATTTACATTCCTTAGTAAAATTTGCTGTCCTGTAACACTAAGTTTCTAGCAAAAACCATACAGGGCTGGTTAACTTCCATTATTTGTTTAAGGTAGGGGTGGGCAATTATTTTGATTAGAGGGCTGCTTACTGAGTTTTGGCAAGCCATCGAGGGCTGCATGACGGGCAGCCAGGGGCAGATAAATATTAATATTCTAATTTTTTTAGGAGCCCTGCAGGCCAGATAGAATGATCTGGCGGGCCACATCCAGCCCCCAGGCTGCATTTTGCCCACCCCTGGTTTAAGGGCTGCCAACTTCTGAGTGGCTAGGGCTGCAGGCTCCCTTTCCCTCACCCCCACCATACAATATGCAGGTTGTATGCTGTGTCATGTGGACCTCACCTGAGCCATACAATGTTTCCCATCCTATGTGGGGACCTTGGGTCCCCCCAGGACCAGAAGGCAGCAAAAGCTGGAGGAGGGAAGAGGAGCCTAGAGTTCCTAGCAGCAGTGGCAGAAAAACAATGGAGCAGTGGCACAGATTGGGAGCCTGGCAGTTGGGCAGCATCCCTAGTTTATGTAATAGCTTCACTATGCCAGATTGGAAGCAGGATCAGCAGCATCTTATAAACAGAGTATTCATTTAGTTCTTGTTTGTGCTATTTATGCACCTATAAAATGTTAGCTTGTTGAACAGCTGATAAGAATGCAGCCGTTATGCTGTAGAGTGGGGCAGCCAACCTGTAGGATGGGCATTGTCTGTGAGGCAGGCAGTACGGTAGCAGATAAAGCAGAGCACAGGAGAGGAACCTGAAAACAAAGCAGATTAGGGAAGGGACTGGAGTGTCATTTGAGGGGGCTTGGGGCTAATTGGTGGTGCACTTGCCAAAAAGGCTGGTCCCCACTGCTATAGAACAGATCTCCCCTCAAGCCCAAAACCTCTTCAGTTTCCATCTCTGGTAAAACCTTTAGACACTAACAGGAGTAGTTAGGACAAGGTTGAATGCTCTTAGTCTTTTCCCCATTTCCAATATTTGGTCTTGGATTGAGGGATGAAGATGTTGCCTTTAATTTTTATTTAGTATTTTATTACTGGATTACCAAAAGATAGTGTTGAGGAAAAATACAACGGAGTGTTTCAGCTCATGATGGGCACTACTGCAACTTACTTGAGGCCCTCATCCAGTTGAATTGCAATAGCGGAGGTGTTCCCTGCTTGCCTTATTGTCACTTATTTGGTTTTCAACTATCCAATTTAAAAAATTAAACTGAGACTTTGGAAGAGGAAAGGTAGAAAGCTTGCTTTGTTTTTGTGACTGCTCTGTTAGCCAACAGATGCTGCCATTTCTAGCTGTTCAGTGAATAAATCATCATTAGGTGGTTGTACACTTGTTCTGGTGTCTTTCCTGGCTGAAGACATTTACCACTCTAGAGAATATAGCATTGGTAAAAACAAAATGAAGGACATATTTTATAACAGCATGTCAGAGTTTTAACAGTAAAAATATGCAGATGACTTTTGCAGCTCTGTATCGAGTTCCCAAGAAACGACACGTTTGGTTTTGAGAATTCTACAAGGAGGCCTGCATTGGGATGGGAAGAACACAGTGGTAGATGCAAGTTTCACCCATGGGTACTAAGAAATAACACAAACATCAAAATAGGATTGTCGGGGTTCCTAGTAAACCTAGATACTCACTTCTCTCTGGTGAATTTTACTAAGCACCATTGGGTTCAGGTAGATGCAAGAATAGTCATGTTTGCTTTATACAAATGGAAAGGTGTAAATATGAAGCAAGAGAAAATCATGACAACTCCTGTGATTTGGATAGACTCTTTGGGACAAACAGAATGGTTATCACTGAAATAAGATGCTACGTGTAGCAAAAGAGAAGATTGGCACCTTCTTACTCAGCAGACTCATGTTGTATGTCTCTTTCCAACTTACTCTACTTGCAGAAGAATAGCTAAGGTAATATTATTTTATTTGTAAGTATATTGACTTATCCTGTACTAGAAAAAGAGCCAGTAGCTAAAGTGTACATTCACTCAAAGAGATGGAGAGCATTAATTATGACACTAGCAAAAAAGGAGCTCTCAAAGTTGTTTCTAGTTGAGAAAAGGTTATGGTTTGCTTTTGTTGAAGCTACTAGTCTTTGTAACAAAGTTGTGTACATCCCTAAAGTAGCTGTTGTTTTATTGAGGCAGCTGTCTGGGAGTACAAAACTAAGACAGGTGAGGGCTACTGGGGGAAAGAGACCCACCCAGGAAAGAAAGGCAGGGTGAACTTGCTAACATCTGGCACACTTCCACAAGGAGCAGTGCTGAAGTCATATTTGACAGTAGTTAAAGCTAGTCCTGATACTTTTATTAAAGATAGAAACACAGAACTCACATGGCAAAACAAAGCTACAAGTTCCATATTGATATTCCCCTTGGGAACAGAATTTACCCTTGCTTGCTTCTCCCTTAGAGAAACAGGCAACTAAATCTGAAAACAATCTCTGGAACTTGAATCGGTCTTTATTATGTCACCCAAGTGGCTTGTTGCCCTTCCTCCCCCCAGAGAAAGAATTCACAGCACTTGCATTTCTAGGAATCCAAGCACCTCTCTAACACACAGGCTACATCACTATTCAATCAATAATTGAAAGAAACTTTATTAAATGTAAAAGATCAGCTGTATACAATGGGAAAATGTTTGTTAAAATGCTGTGTGTGTACACACCATGACCATTCATTAGTTTCTACATGATTGCAGCATAGGCAGTGGTGCATGTGGGGCAGTTGCACCAGGATATAATTTAAAAGGAGGCTGATGTTCCCTTCTTTAATTAAGGGAAATCTGATGAACTAAGTATGCTCACCAGGCATCTTCCTTCACAGTATTTTAAAATTGTTATAGCTTAAGAGCAGCTGGGACACATGCAAAAAGCATCTTGTAAGAACTTCAGTAAAGCCAGTTACAAGTACAAAGAAATTTGCTGCAGCAGCCACACAAAAGGATAACGGCAGAGTGCTTAGCTTGTATTGATTCACAAGGCAGTTTATGGGCAGTGACTCATGCAGGCCCACTATGACTGTTCCAGCACTTTGCTAGGACATCAACAGAAGTGGCAAAGGTTTTTTTATTCCAGCACACTACAGTTACAAGCCTTCCAGCAGCAAGAAGGGTTAAAAAAAAAAATCAATTAGTACACACTTGCAGAAGGAAGATGAATGCACCCTTGTTATTGCACAAGCTGCTATTTTTTGTAAGGCTTCATTGGGACTGGATTGATCAGAGGAGCATGTTTCAAGTAGGCATCACCACCTCTGCTTGCAACACCAGGTCAGGCTGCACCACCTTCTAGGCTCACTTGAACTCAATAAGGGGGTCTCCAGTGGGCAAATCAAGTACTTTTAAAGTGTGTAAAAACAGTTGCTTTCATCACAAAGTTAGCAACATGTACATCAAGATGTTAATATAGCACATGAGAAGTAGTACAGATAAATACAGGGTAGGAACTCTTTTTGCCATATTAATTTCATTTCCCCTGCAAGCAGGAGAAGCAGCATAGTTTCAATCAGTTGCTGAGATTAGGGTAATTGTGCCTCAATGTTAAAAAAGTGAGAGGAGCTCAGTCATACAAAGAACACTTGGAATAACTGACCAGTTCCATGAGAGCACACAGAACTATTTCCTCTTAGTGCAAGTCAAAGGAGAGCTGACATTGAGACACTGCTTCTAAGGAAGCCCTTTTTAGATGATTCACGGAAGCAAATGCTCTTGCTCCTTAAATTTGCTTGCAAGGTTAAAATAAATATTGATATCCATCATTTCATACATTAAAAATACTTTATTTTACATTCATTCTGATGTTCAATAAGTTATGTCTAGCACCAAAGAAAACGTCTTTTGGAAGGGCTGAGGAATTAAAAAACTACAAAGTGTTAATGCAGAAGAGTCGATTTATACAATGTTTAAATGACTCGCAGCAGTGCCTAGAAGTCTGATTCCTTTAAGTTATCCATCAGATGGGCTTTAGAGTATTGCTTCACTTAAACCCACTACCAGTGCCAGAGCACCTTGGAAGTATAAAAATGATATAGATTTAAAAACTTACATGAAGTACTCAAGGACTTATACTGAGGGTTCCGAATACTTAATGCAAGATTGGTGGTTTGGCACCCAGGTAACAGGCTGGGGGAAAGAACTAACCATGTAACTCCAGTGCTGTGTTTCAGGATAGAGAGTGCTTGAAATGTCCTCCCTTTTCCCTAGGAATAGGGCATAGGAACTTGGTATGGTTTCTAGTACTAATCTTCTCACGTATTCTTTGCCCTGGGGATGGAGGCTTTTCTTAAAGCTGCTAAGCAAGCTGCAGTCAATCAAACTGCTGCTGGAAGAGTGAGAAAGAAGATTTTGTCCTAAATATTTTACAGGCCATTTTACAGTTGAGCCAAACAAAGCCTTCCACAGCTGAGGATGTGGCCTTTGCTCTTCTGCAAGAATGTTCTATCACAAGCTGAGAAGACAAAGGCACCATTATTTTCTTGAAATGCTGACTTTATACTTGTACCCTTTCCATATTCAAACCCAGGTAATGCTGTATTGGTAATACTGTACCCTGACAACTAAATGCTCAGAATTACACCTGTGCTGCATTAAGTCTGATGGTTACTTCATCCATCTCTGCATGAAATGCCACAAGATATTTTGACTGATTAGAAAGCCTGTGTTTGCAATGAAACACCACTTCTCAGACCACCTGCCTTCCAAAGGCATCAAATCGGCCAACTGTTCAGGGCCACCCAGGAAATAAAGACACAAGGAGCTGTAAAAGAGATGACAAGCCCATGACCAGCACATGGATTTCCCTGAACTTTGCAGGGATATCAACTCTCACCAAGTTGCTGGTGCATTCAAGCAACTCCAACATACAAGTTTAAGAGTATAAATCCTGCTGCTGATCTCTCTTGGAACTTGACCAGTGGGAATAACATTTGGTTGACTGAGTATGCGTAACCTACTTGTTAGGGACAAAAACTGGGCTAGTTACAAGCACCTTGCTCAATTTGTAGCCCTTAACAAAACCAAAAAAGCCATCAACAGAACCCAAGGCTATTAAGCTGGTAGAGTCACATTCAGTGACACTGCATTAAAGTGGCTCAGATACAGAATACTGCTACCAACTACAGTGAAGATCTTCAGAGAATTTTAAGCTAAGTCTGTTCAAAAGCAATTGCAATGTAAAGCCTCTAATAGCTCAGTCACAGTTTCATGTTTTGAGACAGCTTTAGCTGCACACTATGAAATAATTCCACAGTTTATGATCACAATGGTCTGCAACAGAATTACATGAAAAAGATTCGGTTTGGAAAATATCTCTCTGGACCAGTTAAGATCCAAAGAGGAGGCAGGGTAGAAAGGTAAAAGTGGACTGTTTTCACGCATGCAGTTGCCTGGACAGCAAAGCACGTATTTAACTCCTGCCCAAGGCTCACAGTAGTTTCATTGAGATCAGGTGCCGACAAGGTCCTGAAGCAGTGCACTCCACTCTCCTTGCTAATGCCTCTTGCTGGACAGCCATATCCACTCAAGTAGTTCAAATCCCAAGGTTTCCATCTGCAGAACAACAGATAGCATAGCTGCTTTGTAACCCTGCAACTTTACTACTGCAGTGGCTGACAGTCAGTGCCAAGAGAAACCCTGGAGTTAGTCTGCTGAGGAACATGAAGGCTGTTCATCAACAAAACAAGTGACCAGGAGCAACTTATTTACCACATTTGTACTTACCCAATCCCCGTTCTTGGGTCATCTAACTTCCCTGCTTTTTCTTCACATCCTGACACCACTTTGCTACAATATAGGCCCTGGTTAATGAGGAAAAAGATGCTGGAAGCAAAGCAACATTCACAAAACTCCAAGCTTTAAGTGTTCTGTGCTTCAGAGCAGAAAATTTTTGCAAGTGTCACTTTGCTGCCAGCACTCTGAGGAGAGTGCAACACAAGAAGACAGGCTCGCACCAAGTGGGATGTCCCCCCTCCCACCCCAAGAAGAGCAGGTGCTGCACCAACAATCCTTTTGGCCAACAATAAGGAGTAAACAGCTACACCAGGCTTGGTCTAAACCCATGCGAAAAGATCCATTTCAACAGTGCACCAAAACCTATTAGATCTGATGTACTCATCTACTGTCCATATTTAAAGGGCAAATCTTTCTTCTTAAAGTACTGACTTTAAGATCACACAAGGAGTTACAGGTTAGTATTTTCCATGATCCATTGCAAAGAGTCCCTCTAGACTGAGAGCTGTAAATACTCATGTTTTACAGGAGAAATCCAATCTTGAGGAAAGCGAGAGAGAGTAATGGAGTCCTGTAGCCCGCAGTGAGCCTTTTGTTCGTGGGGATGGGCGGGGGGCATTCAGTTCAGACAGGTTTTATGAGGCGTCCCTGGATATCCAACCACTTTCTGTTAGAAAATTTAAAATCCTTTTCTTTAATACCTTATCTAGGTTACTGGGAAGGCGACTTTTTGAAGGAATTCCTTGTCTTTTTTGAAGATGGTCTTTAATTATTATAGTTTTCACAGTCACGTAACGTGCTGGACTCAGATTCAGAGAGCTGCAGAGCACCTTCTCTCTGTCTGACAAGAGTTCAAAGTCCGGCAGGTTTTCAATTGCAGCAAATTCACCATCTTTGCCGTCTTCCTTTCCTCTCTTGGAACTGGCAATGTTTTTATTCTCCTTCCTTTTCTCCCGTTTGTGTCTAGCTGCCTCATACTCTGCTGACTCCTCCATTTTGGTGATCCCATTTCGACGGTAGCGCTGCAGCTCTCGAATCTTTGCTCGAAGTATCCTCTCCTTGTGCATGTTCTCAAAGAAGTCTTCAAACTCCTTACAGGACATGAACTGATACAGGGGCCTCAGTTTTAGCCTCAACTCCTTTTCTTCTTTTGTGATCTTGCGTTTTGGAGCCTTTTCCTTGTCCTTTTTATCCTTCCCCAGAAAGGCAGGAACCAAGTTATAATCTCGTGCAATATTTTTTCGCCGTTGTCTCTCCTTAAGTTTTCTTACATACATATCCACATGAGCTCTTTTTAATTCTATTTCCACATCATCATCATCATAGTTCACTGAAAGGCCACTGATCAGAGTCTCAGCATCTTGGTCATACTCAATCTCATAGTCATCCCGAAGTGGCATGTACCCCAGCTGCTGCTGCTCTGCCACTGATATGTCCAAAGGTGGGAGAGGGGTGGTCAAGCTAGGAGAAAGTGGGCCACCGCTGGGGCAGGTGTGATCTGTAACTCTGTTGGGGATGGTGTCAGGGATGCAGGCTTTTCCAAGGTTACCATGGATATACATGCTTACATAGTGTTCCATCACTTCCTGGGGAGTTCGGGATGCTCCAACATGAGCAGCCATATCCTCCTAGAAAAAGAACAAAGTCAGAGATTACTGATGGACTGATCATTTCTGAGTTATGCCCAGTGTCACGGACGAGACCTGCATTATCCACACAAACATCCAGCTTTAGATGGCAAAACTACTCAAACTCTTATTTTTTTTTAAGTTTCCTCCTACACAAGTAAGCAACAATTTTCATAACCATATGCAGACAGAGAATTCACTTATCATCCAAAGAGCTGTTGTGTCAACATTTGGAGACCAAAGTCAAGAATTAAAATATAAACAAGAATTCTACTCCAAATGTAGTACTCCCTGCAGACTCAGAACCAATAACCCCAAACGTAATTTTGGTTTTGCTCAATTGGTTATAAATACATTTTTATAAAAGACACAGGTGAAGGGAGAGGGGAAATCAGTACTTAAAATTCTCTCACAAGAATGTTTTTATTTAAGTATATAACTACACTCAAAAGTAAGTATTTAAAGGGTTCTGGCTCTGTTAGGTAGTAACAATTTAATTCAAGCATCATCAACATGAAAGAGAGAGCCGTTTTTCTATGTTGCACCTAAACGAGAAAATAATTTGTTATTAGAGGGTAACAGGATGTTGAGAGGGCAAGAAATGATCTGACAACAATAGCACACTGGAGAAAAACTCAGAATGTGGTAGAGACACAAAATAAGGAAGAAAGAACGGAGGACATTAGATGTGCAGCACCCCTCGGGTATTTTGGAAGAGAATACATTTTTAAACTCAAATATCTTAAAAAAAAAAAAAAAAAAAAATCCTGTTGTCAAAGCTCCTTGAAAAACTTAAAATCATCCCTCACTACAACTCCCCTTGCGCTTGTATAACATGAATACACTAAGTCCTCACGTAGTTTCTATCTTACCTAGTTCAGTTTTCTCCTCTTCTATACATTAGAAGACAAGGCTAGACAAAACATACCCAGACTGTCAGAAACTTGAACCCTGATCAGATTTTACTGTTGTTGTAACAGTTTTGTGATTTCTTTAAGCAACAATTGGCTGACAAAAGCCTTCCAAGAACAAACAAATGAACAAACGATAAAACTTCCATTACTAGGTATCTAAATTAAATGGAACAGCTTTGGATGCCACAGTGCTGTGCTTGTATCTTAAATAAATCAGCTAACACTGCATGGCATGTAGCTAGATCAGACTGTGTATAAAAGGATGTTGCTCTGGCACTGAACAGTCTTGCAGAAATGTCCCTCGCTCCTGCAACCCTGATCAACAATGAAACAGTTAACATCAACTTTGCAAGTGCCAATGTCTTGAGTTAACATTTCCTGCACAGGAGCTGCTACTTTGTTTTTCAAAGACTCAGAACGACAACAGGACATCCCATTCACTTAGTTTTCCTTCATCTGACATCACGTTCAGAAATACACAAAACCCTGTAGCAACCTTGTTTGCTGAGCTCCAAATAACTATTCTTAAACACTGGCATTTTAAGAACTGACTTGAACATAAAACTGCACAACAAAAAAGTCATCCACAGGTTGTACTATGTTAAATACGGTCTAAGCAGGGATTACAGATTCTTATCCCATTACCTGGATTATCTTTAAATCCTACGGCTTTGCTGTTCCTGCCATCTCCTTCACCTCTCTCATTACTGCCCACTCTCCCTTCTTCTCCTCTGTCTTTAAATCGCATGTAAAGCAGGAGGACCATGGTGGCTAATGCCCTGCTGTTGCAAAGGTTGTTAATACAGGCTCAAGAGATCAAAGAAGACTGCCACAATCCCTGCTACAGAAGAAGGCAAACCTTCCAGTCCATACCAATCTGACCCTCGGGTAAAAATTTTTCCTGACCCCAAATGTGGTGATCAGCCTGATGCTGAGTGGAGAGGCAAGACCCTCTAACCAGGAACATCTGGGTTTAAGTCTCAGCAAGAGCACTGGTACAACCTCAGTCACAATCTGCAACCTTGGCTTCAGCATCACAGTGTCCAACACAGACAGCTGTTGCTTGTGAAAGCTTATGCAACCCTGATTTGGTTAGCCTAGGCACACCTACCCTGCCTCTGCCCGACTTCAGGATAACATACCTGATTACCGCTCACCTGAATGAGCTAGAAACCAAGCGCTCTGCCAAAGCTCAGTCTTCTGAGCCAAGGTGGACACATAGTACTTCACTTGGGCATCACACCAACATCTGCTGCCCACCACAGCCAGAAAGCAGCTGCACACATGAGCTGCACAGTGACATGAGCCTAGCAGCTGTCAAGAGAACAGATGCAAGCGAAGCAGAAGCATGGACAGCACGGGCAGGCTGGAGGCATCAGAAAGAAGCATCCGGGAGCAGACGGCAGGAGAGCCACGAGGGGTCTGATCCTTCTTACAGCAGCGCAATCCCAGCCCCTCCTCCACTGTCTGTCCCGAGACGCACACGCACTGCTGCTGGCACCGAGCTGGGCCACAGCTCTGCAGACCCCAGTGCAGCTGCTTGCGGCCTCCCCATCCCCTGACGCGAGCAGCCTGGGCTCCGCGGTGGGTGGCCCAGAGCCCAGCCCGGCTGTGGCAGGCATCTGGGAGACCGAAAGCAGCCGTCTGTGGAGCCCCAAGCCGGGTGGTGCACGTGCACCTTGAGCTGGACAGTGGGAAAGGGGCTGGGGCTGCCACAAGAAGGATCCGGCCCTGGCGGCTCCCCCACAGCCCACCCCGAGGGCCGAGCAAAATGTCTTCGCGTGCCGCACTGGGGCACGCACCGGGGCGGGCAACCCCTACTTCAAGCTCTGTGTAATGTGGCCGCTAGCCTGGGAGCGCGCACCACAAACCTGACACGTGGCGCGGGCACCTACCTTAGAGGCCTACAAAAGAAGACCGGCGCGCGCCTGGCTGGGGTTACGTGAGCCCAGCCGCCCAAGCAGGGAGGCCGGACCTGATCCCACCCTACGCGTGTGTGGACCGGTGACAACGGGCCCAGGTAAAGCAGGGAAACCACCGCCCGATCCCGTGGCCCCGCGTAGAGGGCGACATCCCCCCCCCAGAGGAAGGGG